CCGCCGCGCCCCGGGAGGCGGTGGCCCCGCTCCCGCCGAGACCGCGCAGCGCCGGGAGCTCTCAGCGCCGCGGGAGCCTGAGCAGGTGAGTGCGGCCGGGAACCAGGTGCGGGGGAGAGGGGACAAAGGGAGAGGGCCCCCCAGTTGCCCCGGCTGCCTTCGTCGTCGGGGGCGCGCTCTCCTTCCCGCCCCGCGAGGCCGACGCGCCCGGGGCCGGTCCCCGATGCCAGTTCCTTTCACCAAACCCCACCTCGGGGTCCCCATCGACCTGGATTCCCGCCGAGCCATTTACTGTGATTTCATCGGAGTTCCCTTATGTTCTCTGGACCTCAGTTTCCACCTCTGGATGGTGGAACGTAGTCTCTACTTCTCTGGACGGCCCGGAGAGATAAATGCGGCTCTGTCCGGGGTCAGCCGGCCCTGGCTACAGCTCTCCCAGGTGCCGAACAGGCCCCAGGGGTTTCGTTTATTCAGCAGCTCTTTGCTGACCGCCTACTTTGTGCCAGGCGCTGTCGTAGGTGCTGGGGATACTGCGGTAACCAAAACTCTCATGGAGCTTGCATTCTAGAGGTTTGCAAAGCACTTTGGCATCTCCTCTCTCATGACTACCGCATGAAGTAGACGGAGCAGCTAGGGATATTTGGGTCCATTTTACAGCTGTGGATACTGAGGAGCAGTAAAGTTTTAGATATCTTGCCCAAATGGTTACCCGAAGTCAGGTCTGAGCCTTTGTCACAAAAAGCATCCCCGTAGGACAGAAAGACAACTCTGGTCCACAGACTCTCCCCCACAACAGAGTCCCCTAGGCCTGGGTAGAGGAGAGCTCCATCCACTCTGGGGCTGCATCTTCTACCCTCCACATGAGGACATTAGGCCCATCCTCTGGAATGACTCCCACTTGGGGTGTCCCCCCCAACCCCGATTAAACTCTCTAGTGCTGGTTTGGGCATGACTGTGTCCTTCACCCAGGACTTTGATGAGCAGGGCAGTAGTAGAAGAGACTAAAAGATACAGTCTCTGTAGCTGACCACCACCAGCAACAACCATGCGGCTCATCAGTCAGTCACTCACTCAACAAACACCTGTTCTTTCACGCAGCCATTATGTGCCACACAGGGCAGAGACTTACCTATCTGTAGGGCCTGGTGTGCAGTAGGCCTGTAGTATACGGTTGCGGCTCTTATAATGCTCCTGGTCCAGCCTTGTCCTTGGGTGGAGTGGTGGGGGGAGCAGTGAAGATGGTGACAGTGACCAACAGCTTGGCTTGCTTAAAGTCTCGAGAGAAGGACAGGATCCTCAGTGCTGGCCTCTGAGGCCCGCAGACCTTACACCGAAGCCTTCAGGGGGCTTGGGCAGACCCTATAGGGCCAGCCACCTTCACTGCTGGGGGACCTGGGAGAGCCAGAGGCAGCAGGTATCAGGACAGGGGCAGGCACCTGGAGTCATATACAAGTTCCCAGGGTGCAGAGCCTACACAGATCCTACACAGATATCCCTCCTCTGCCCCCCTCCACCACTTCCTCCTCCTCTTCATCATGCTTTTCCTCCTCCAGAGCCCTTCCCATTTCCCCATTCATGAGCAGTCACCTCCCAGTCTGGTGAGGTTCCCCTTGGCATGATTTGATCAGTCTTCCTCTGAGTCTCCATGGGAACTGGGATTTTGAAGAACTGGTAGGGAAGTCAGGAATGCTTGGTGTAAATCTCAGTCACGCGGTGTGACTTTGGCCTCAGTTTCCCCGGCTATAAAAACCAAGAAGGCAGCCACACTGGAAGTTCTTGAGATTCTGAAAGGCACAGGCTCACTGGGAACTCAGAGGGTCTCTGATTTCCACCTGGCCTTCTCCTCAGTCCTAGGGATCTGATAATCCATATGAATTGAGACAACTCTAGAATGTTCTTTCTTCTATTTTCTCCCACAGGTGGACAGCTTCTGTGACTGCATGGCTCAGTAGAGGATGAAGCCCAACCCCACAGGCTCCTCCCCAGAGGCCTGCAAAGCTACAGGCCAGGGCGAGAAGAACTGCCATGTCTGCCAGGCCCGGGGAGGGGTCTCAGGTCCAAGGTCTGACTTACAGTCTGGGTCAGGGCCTGGTGCCATTCCAGGGCCTACGCAAGGGCCTGGGGCTGTTCCAGGGCCTGGGACAGGACCTGCTATTTCAGTGACTGGGCCAGGACCTTGTACAGTTCCAGGACCTGGACCAGGTCTGGGGCCTGGGCCAGGAGCTGGGTCAGGAACTGGATCAGATTCTGGTGCTGTTCCAGGGCCTGGGCTGGGACCTGCTGTTTCAGGACCTGGGCTAGGGCCTGGGACAGTTCCAGGACCTGGGCCAGGTCTGGGGCTTGGGTCAGGGTCTGGTACTGTTTCAGGGCCTGGGCCGGGACCTGGTGCTGTTCTGGGGCCTGGTGCTGTTTTGGGGCTTGGACCAGGTCTGGCGCCTGGGCCGGGGGCTGCACCATTACCTGGGCTGGGCCTAGGGCCTGGGTCTGGACTGGGGTCTGGGACTGGGCCCAAACCTAGTGAGTTGATGACAACTCCAGTACCAGCACCACAACAGAAGACTCAAGCCAGACCTGCACAGACCCGTAGGCAGAAGGTTCTCGTGACTGGAGGAGGAGGCTACCTGGGCTTTAGCCTAGGGTCCAGTCTGGCCAAGAGTGGCACTTCTGTCATTCTGCTGGATCTCCGCAGACCCCAGTGGGAACTGTCTCCAGGGATGGAGTTTATCCAGGTGTGGGGATGAGGATCCTGGGGGACCGGTTGTGGTGGTTGGGGAGACGTCTGATGTGAAACCAGGGGTGTGGAGTTTGAGAGCACAGGCTCTGGAGCCAGACTGTCTGAGCTCGAACTCTAGCCCTGTACTTCCCAGCTGGACAGCCGTGGTCACAAGGCTCCACATCTCTGAGACTTGGTGTCCTCATCCACAGCAAGGGGACAATAGTAATACCTACTTCACAAGGGTCTCATGGAGCATCACTGATAGTACACGTAAAACACCTAGCGTAGCCCCTGTGACCCAGAGAGCTAGATAAATGGGAATGGAGGAGGAGGAGGATGTCCTGTAAGAATCATATAGTAAATCCAGCCCTGCCAGCCCTTCCTGGCCCTACAGATGCTTGTCTGGGCTGCGTCAAGGGGCCAGCTCTGAAACAGAGTAAGGTGCAGAGTATGTATCTCTGTTTGCCTTGGACTTGAACCTCCTACCCCCATCTCTTCCTTCCGTTTCAGGCTGATGTCCGAGATGAAGAAGCCCTGTACCACGCCTTTGAAGGGGTGGACTGCGTCTTCCACGTGGCCTCCTATGGAATGACCGGTGCTGAGAAGGTGAGCCCCTCACATACAATACCTGGAGTTGGACGGAATGGGGTTCAAGTCCTGGCTGTGCCCACCACCCCCTGTCATGCCTGCGTATTCCTTATTGCTCTTTAGTTACTCCAGGAAGGGTCTGGGCTCCTCCCAGCCTGCATTCTGCATCCAAAAGACCAAATGCCAGTTCTGTCTCTTTCTAGCTGTGTGTTCTAGGGCAAGTTAACTTAACCTCTCTGAGCCTCTCTTTCCTCATGTTGAAAGTAAGGACTGCTTATGTTATAGCGTCTTTTGGGAACAGTGTGATAGTAATCTACCAAAACATACATATACCCATTGACTCAGAAATTTACACTTACTGATGTATTTGCAGCATTGTTTTTAATAACAGAACTTCAGAAATAACCTAAATGCCCATCAGCTGGGCATTTAATAACAAAACTTCAGAAATAACCTAAATGCCCTAAATAAATTGTGTTGCATCCACAGAATGAAGTTCTATGACTCAGTATGTGCTGATTCAACAGAACAATTTCTAGGGTGTAAAACAGTGTTTGGTATTCTCCTGTTTGTCTAAGAATTAAAAAGCTAGGGTAAATGTTTATGTATGTTCTCACGCATGCTTATGTGCTGATATTGATATGTAGATTATCTCTAGAGACACACAGGGCTGTTCACAGCGGTTGCCTCTGGGAAGGGAAAAGAAAGACTTGGATTCAGGAGTGGGAGGGAAACTTCCTTTTCACCAAATGTCCTTTTTACTCTTTGAATTATTTTTAACCTGGTGGTTATATTACCTATTAAACAGAAACAGTCACAACAAGAATAAATATAGTTTAAAAATAAATATAGAGCCCTGGTGGTGTTGTAAGGATGAAATGAGCTTGGGGGTAATCACACAAGGAGCTGTCACTGCAGACCAGTTGTTTTGGTTTTTGCGCCCAGCCCCCTCGCTGGGCACGGACAGTATTACTGTGTCCATCTTACAGATAAGAAAACTGAGACTTTAAGAACAGGAAGACGATCCGACATATTTTGAGTCCCTCTTCTGTGCCGAGCACTGTACCAGGTGCTCCCAAATGTTTTGTTTAATCCTGCCAACCACCAAGGGGTCAGCCGCACTTTACAGATGAGGGAGCTAAAGGCCAGAAGGGGACAGAAGGTCCCCTGGCCACTCTGGAGGTGGTGACAGAGCTAGACACCCACACTGCCCACGGGCCTGGGGTGTGCCTGCCTCTGAGCTGGACATTCTGCTGCCCCCACCCTGCCTGACCACAAGCCCAGTATTCTGGCCTTGGCGATGAGGCCCAAGGCCCCACCGTGACTTTCCCCCCTCCGTCTTGTCTTTTAGCTGCAAAAAGAGCAGATTGAGTCTATAAATGTCGGAGGCACCAAACTAGTGATTGATGGTAGGCGCCTAGAGCCAAGTGTGCCTGCTGCGTGTGTCCTCCTCCTCCCTCCTCTCCTGCCACAGACGCAGCTCTGGGGGGTGGGGTGGGGGAAAGAGGTGGGACCCTCCTGCCCTAACCCCTCCCCCCACCCCAGCAGGAGACCTGTGGGCAGCACGTCCTTCCTGCGCTGCAGACCTGCCCAGGGCCCAGGGCGGGTATGTCAGCATGGCCTCAGCGTGTCTGAGGACACTCAGGGCCTAGGGATGGGAGTGAGAAAGTCACTGAAGTGCCAAAATGGAAGACCTGCATCTGGGCTCTCTGGGCACGTCCCTCCTTGTCCTGCGTCAGCTTTTCTCTCTGATTCTGGAGTGTCTCTGTCTGTGTCCCCATTGAGTGAGACTTTCTCTTTACCTGTCTCTGGCGAGGTAGCTCAGGGTCCACAGCCACATCAGAAGGAAGATCAAGCAGGCCTGGCCCCCAAGGGCCCACAGAGCAGGGACTTGACCCACGTTCCAAGTTAAGGGGATGAGGCTCTTCCCTCTGGAGCAGCTCTGGATTTTGGGAGGGTCTCAGGGGCCAGGATGTGTGTTCACGGCTGGGGAGAGGTCCCCGTGGGCACCTCCTCAGCTGCCTCCCGTGTGTGTGTGTGTGTGTGTGTGTGTGTGTGTGTGTGTGTGTGTGCACCTGCTGCAGCCTGCGTCCGCCGGCGGGTTCCGAGGCTCGTCTACACCAGCACCGTCAATGTCGTGTTTGGCGGGAAGCCCATAGAGCAGGGCGATGAAGACTCCGTGCCGTATTTCCCACTGGACAAGGTACTGGCTTCCAGGAGAGGTGGGTGCAGACAGTGGTCCTGGGATTCACTGCCCAAAGGGCAGGGATGGTGGGGGCGGGAAGGCTGGCTGGTTAGCTCAGTTGGTTACAGTGTGGTGCTGACAACACCAGGGTCCAGGGTTCAAGCCTGTACTGGCCAGCTGTTGGGAAAAAAAAAATAGTTCATGGAAATATTATCTTTAAAAAAAAAAGGGTAGGAGGGGGTGGAACCAGGGTCAACTTTGCAACTCAGGGTGAGTCCCAGCAAGAAGGGCCCCCAAAACTGGGTGTCATGAGCCTGTTCTTATGCCAGCTGGTCATGCTCGCAGGGGTTTGAAAATCAGACAGACCTGGCCTTGAGCCCCAGCCTGACCACATTCTACTTGTGGGACCCTGAGCAAGAAGACACTTCACTGCTCTGGGCCTCTGTTTCTTCTCCTGGGCATGTTAGCACCATCGCTGTGGAACTTGGAGAGCAGGAAATGAGATAACATATGTGGAAATGCCATGGGAACACTAAATGGTGACATATAAGTAATTTATCTGGCGTGTGTCCAGTGTCAGCTGCGGGGCAGGCGTTCGGAGCTGACAGGTGCCTTCCTGAGTCAAGGAGCCCCTGCACATTACTGCCCTGGGCCCAGTGCGCCTCTGCTCCTGTGGCTCTGGCAGGAAACACACTCTCCCCCACCCAGAGGGAGAGGAGGGGCAGTGGGGCACTGGGCTTGGCTGTATCCCACTGGGAGTCCCAGAATCCATACCCATGTGGCCAGCCACATTGCTGACCCCTGTCTGCTGGCTCTGCTCTCCCTGTCCTCTGGCAGCATATGGACCACTACTCCCGAACCAAAGCCATCGCTGACCAGTTGACCCTTACAGCCAATGGGACACCTCTCCCAGGTGAGTCCAGGGGACCCTGTCCACCACTGCCTTCCTGAAGTATGTGCTTTTATCCCCTATGTGTCCATGGCCCACCCTCCTTCCAAAGGACAGTTCCCCAGGGCCTGGACCACTCATCCTTCAGCAGATTCTAGGCACCAGCTATGTGCCAGCAACCCACCAGCGTCCAGCCTGGAAAATGTCAGGCCCAGTCTCTGCCCTCGTGTTGCCAACAGTCTGGTGGGGAAGACACTTGGGCTATCCCAAGTCTAGCTGTCTTTCCTGTCTCATAGGAATGGACCCAGTTTTAGGAGCCCTCTTTAGATAAAGGAGTACAAAATTACAAATATGGAATGAGGTATATATATCACTTTGGAAGGGACCTCGAAGCTTAACCTTCAATAACTTTCCAGAAAAATCTGCCTCAACTGCCCTACTGAATTGCCTCTTCTGGCTAGAAAGAAGTAATAATAGAATATGAACAGTCCTGTTTTATTGAGTGTCTACTGCATCCCAGCCCCTATTTTGCATGCTAATTTGATATGCGGAAGTATCACTGACCCCTCGCAGCATTCTTGTGAAGTGAGCACCTTGGGTATCCTGCTTCCCAAACTCAGGAGCCAAAGAGATACAGATAAATTTCTTGCTCTCCAGATTATCACTACTTGCTTTCTGAAATTCAAAAACTAAAAAGAGTCAGATAACTTGGTTTCCCTTCACTATGGAAACTATCTTAACTCAGGCGCCAAGTGGATTTGGAGAGGGAGGGATGCTTGAAATTATAATCCCCAATTTACAGGTGAGAAAACTGAGACTGGTGGTGGTTAACAGGTATTGGGGGAAGAGGTGGGACTTGAACCTCAGGGGAGTCTCAACATCAGACCCTGGGGCTTAACCACTGTGCTACACTGCATCCCTAGCTGAGCGGTGCCCTGAGCATGGCCTCTTTTCCCTGAGATCTTCCCCACTCCGCCATCGTCCTGGACCATCTCAACCACTGATCCCAGTGGGAACATCCAGCTGTGTTTTCCCAGGAGTTTCGTCCTGTGTAGTTGAATTCTCTTCTCTACCTGAGGCCTCCCCTGGCAGGACCAGCAGCCTGCATGCCAGACACCTAATCCTCTGGTCAAGAATTATTTATATGAGCATCCCCAGCTTTCTGTGGTTAGGAGAGTCATGGATACCCTGGGCCTGGCCCCTCTGTGACGTGGCTGCCCAGTGCCCCTCGACAACATCAGCTGCAAACCAACTTCCCCTCAGCATGCCCAGGTGACCCAGAGTTTAAAATTAATGGCAGGCTGTTTGCAGGAACACTCACCTGATACCTGCCTTCCAGGAGTCCAGCCACAGTCACCCAGGGTGATTTCCACTCCCTGCTACCCAAGCTGGTCCCTGACACTGTCCCCGTAACTTGGCACAGAGGGCTGTAGTCCCGGTAGCGGTAAGACATGCAGAGCCCAGCTCAGGATCAGTGCAGTCGCATCCTCCTGTCTCTGGGTGCATTAGTGTCCTGTGGCTGCCATGACAAATTACCGCAAACTTGATGGCTTAAAACAACAGAAATTTCTTCTCTTACCACTCTGGAGGCCAGAAGTCTGGAATCGAGGTGTCAGCTGCTCTCCCTTGGAAGGCTGTAGGGGAGTCCCTCTTTGTCTCTTCCAGCTTCTGGTGGCCCCAGGCATTCCTTGGCTGTGGCTGTATCACTCCGATCTCTGCCTCTGTCTTTATAAGGGCTTCTCTTTTTTTCTATCTGTTTTTCTCTGTGAGTCTCCTAAGGACACTTGTCATTTGATCTAGGGCTCGCCTGGATAATCCAGGATGATTTCATCTCGAGATCCTTAAGTACATTTGAGAAGACGCTTTTCCCAAATAAGGTCACGTTCACAGGTTCTGGGAGGTGGACATGTCTTTTGGGGGCCACCATTTAACTCACTGCACTGGGCCTCATTGTAAAGTGAGGGTGTTGGAGGGTGTAGAAGTCGGGGGGATGGTTATGACCTGGAGACACCAGCTCTGGCCCATTTATAGGGAAAGGGGAACTTATCTTGGAAGGATGTGGAATAGCTTCAGGAAAATTGATTCTGGAAAATAGACCACCAGGGCTTTGAGAGGACAGGGTCAGGGCAGCTTCAGGGACTGGGTTGCAGGAGCTGATGACCAGTGTCCTCAGGGTGGATCCCCTCCAAGGACTTTAGGTCCTGATGTCAATGATGTCGAGAGTCACACTCCTGGGTGAGAATATCCATGGCCTCCATCTAGATGAACAGTCACCCCAAGACCTCGTGCAGAGGGGGAGGAGCTCCCCAAAGGGAGGTCACAGAGGATGGTCTACACTGGGCTTCCCATAGCGGGGGTGCAGCCCGTTGGGGAGCTCAAGCATCGAGAGGAACTGCAGAACATCTTCTGGGAGGCCCATTCCAGATAAGGAGTTGGGCCTGGGAGTCAATTAATTTACAAAATAAGTCATTTAAAAAATTTTTTTAAATCATAAACACAAATGAATCATGGGAATAAACTAAAAATTTTGTAGGCATTCTTAAGACAAAATTTAAAAGAAATATGTCTGTGGCAGCCCCTCAGGCTGTACCCCCAGACGTCCCCAGGGGAGACATGTTCTCCCACTTCCGCCATTGAGGGCTCCCTGGTGGAGGATTCAGAAAGCCCTGGAGCAAGCCCTGTTATGGTCTAGGGGTCTCTGCTGGGATAGAGCAATGAGAAGGGAACAGACCCCCAGGCTGTTGCCGGATGGCTCCTGTCTTTTCCTTCTCCATTGACTGTCTGGAAAGTATAACAGCCACCACAACTTATGAAGTACCCATTTTCCAGGCAAGAAAACCAAGGCTGAGAGATCTGAAAGACAGGGTCTGTCTGTCAGTCTCGTATCACTGAGAGGCAGAGGTGTTAGTGGAAAAGGCATGGGCTTTGGTTCCTCATCTCAGCTCTACCACACTGAGCTGTGTGACCTTATGCAAGTCACATCCCTTCTCTGAGCCTTGGCTCTTTTATCGGTAGAACAGGATAATTGCCTTGAGGGAAAAAATCCCAGCTTACCAGTGCACCAGGAACAAACTAGGACCACAGTAAGAGCGACCGTGGTCGTCTTCCAACTGATGATCAGGAAAAGGAGAGAACATGAGCCATCGGCCTGGGGGAGGGCGGGCCTGTGTGCACCTGTAAGATGGGCAGTCAAAGGGGGTCACTCTGTCAAGTGCTTGATAAACTCTCAAGGGCCATGCGGATATCTGCATCTAGGTCTCGCCTCTGTTACTGGTCTGTGAGCACTGCGAGGGCAGGGACCATATCTTGGTCATCTTTGCATTCTTCACGGCATCCATGCAAGGGCCCAGTGGTGAGTGGGACTCTGATAGTGTTTGTTGAATGACTAACTGATTGACTGAGAATGGGGAAAACCCAAGAGCTGGTCTTCCCCTGTAACCTGTCCAGATAAGGACCAGGAGATGTAGACCACCTTTCTCTCCCTCTCCCTGCTGGGCCGCTGGGCTGCTCCTCCCCTGACCGCCCTCCCCTGTGTTCCAGGAGGAGGCACTCTTCGGACGTGTGTGCTCCGGCCCCCGGGGATCTACGGCCCTGGAGAGCAGAGGCATCTGCCCCGTGTGGCGGTATGTCATCCCTGCCTTCTGGGACCTGAGGCAGAGAAGGAGCCTGGCTGATGTGTAGGCTGATTGGGCCCTCCCAGCCCACGATCACTGCATCAGGCCTGCCAGGAACAGAGCTGTCAGTGTGTGCCAGCCAGGCCCAGGCACGGGTTGGGGAGACAGGGAGCTGTGACTTTAAAGAGACACAAGGAAGCCTGTTGCCCCCACTCATATGTGGGCTCCCTGAGAGCTGGGTGGTTCATCCCGTGCCGCCAGCCCAAGGATCTTCATGCAGAAAACCTCTCTCTAGAGGAAGCTGGGTGCCAGGAATACAGCTACAAGGGGCTCTAGGCCCTGTCCTCAGACTTCTCACAGCCTAGTCAGGGGGACAGACACCACAGTTGCAGCTTCAGTGTGGTAAGTGCTGGGTGGAAGGAAGCATGAGAAGATGGGCCTGGCCGGGGAGGCCCAGGAGGGCTTCCTGGAGGAAGTGTGATGCCTGTGCTGTTTAGAAAGAGCACTGAGGAAGGAGGGGTGGAGAGAAGGGAGGCCAAATAGTGAAGGCAGCTCGGGCACAGACCTGGAAAGGGAAAGATGGTGGTGGGTTCAGGAAGCCGCAGGAGGTCCCTGTGGCTGGATCTGAGCTGGGAGTACAAGGTCCTGGGGAGCCACAGAAATGTATCAGGGGAGTAAGACTCCAGTGTGCAGTTTCAAAACATTCCTCTGCTGGGGTTTTTTAAAAGTTAACTGGGATCTCAGGGGATGTGGGGCCAACCCCAGTGATTCTCTCCCATTCACTCATTTATGTATTAAACAAATGCTTGTTGAACTGCTGTGTGCCTAGGGCAGTGCTAGGTTTGGGGATGGATCAGTGAACAAACCAGACGACTCTTTCCCTTATGCTCTCACATGAGGAGGTAGATTACAAACAGTGAATGTGATAAAGGATGAGGTGTGGTTGAAGGTGCCAAGCACCATGGAGGAAAAGAGAGAGTGGAGGAGAGTGAGGGAGTTGGGCTTGCCGGGTGGTCAGAGCCCCATTTGGAAGGCGACATTTGAGCATCCACCTGAGGGAGGTGACAGATGCACCACACAGGTATTTGGAGGCAGAGCCTTCTAGGCAGGGGGACACCTCGTCCAAAGCCCTGAGATGGGAGCCTGCCACTGGGCCAGGCATAGCCAGGAGGCTGCGTGGCTGCGCAGAGGGAGGAGGAGGGTGGGGAGGAGGGTGGGGAGGAGGGCAGCTGGGGCCAGATCGGGATCAGGAAGGGCTCATGGGCCATGGTCAGGACTTCAGACTTCCGCTCCCTGCCCGGCAGGATGGCTCACCTGCAAGGTGCCCAGCTGGGGAGAGATGTGGTGTGGCTTAGGATTGGAAAGGATCCCCTGGCTGTGCAGAAAGCAGATTTCAGGGGTCGAGGGTGGACAGAGGGGGACCGGGCAGGAAGCAACTGCAGTTTCCAGGTGAGAGTTGAGGTGGCGGTTGGGATGGTGAGAAGTGGTCGGATTCTGGATACGTTTTCATAGCTGAGCCCAGTGGATCTGTAGATGGCGGGATGTGAAGTGGGAGATGGGAAGGCAGAGGGAGGCTCCCCAGTTATCTGTTTGATGACCCAGTGCTGATGTCAGGAACACACCAGACACCGATACGGGAGCCTGGGGCAGAGGGGTTCGGCCTGGAGCTGGAATTTGGGAGCCATTGGGGTTCACCAGCCCCTCCCCCACCAGAGCCACATCAAGAGGAGGCTGTTCATGTTCCGGTTCGGGAACCTCAGGACGCAGATGAACTGGGTCCACGTGCGCAACCTGGTGCAGGCACATGTGCTGGCGGCCGAGGCCCTCACTGCGGCCAGGGGCTGTGTGGCAGTGAGTCTCCTGCCGTGTTCCCCCCCCCCCAACGGCTGCAAGCTGGTGTCCCCTCCCTAGGGCATTCCTGGCCCCCACACAAGATCTCCCCAACTTAACCCAGCTGGTGGGACTGTCAACCCAGGGAAGCAAGGTGGGGTGGGGGGGTCTTCAGAAAGCATCGTAGCTCTTCACAGCGACCCTGCAAGGTTGGTGGTATTGATCCCAGAATAACAGTCACCAAATGCTAAATGTTGCATTTAATCTTTGCAGCAGCCCAACAGGGAGATCCCGTTATCATCCATCTTCCTGTTCCTCAGATGAAGAAACTGAGGTGCAGAGAGGTTTAGCAATTCCATCGAGGTCACACGGCTAGTCAGTGTGGTGGCCCCAGAATTCACAGGGAGTGACCTAGGTCTGTCCCCAGGCCTGGGGTCTGCTCAAGAGAGCGAGGGGGTGGAGCAGCTGCTGGAGCCCTCTGAAAGGGTGGGGTCAGGCTGGTGCCCAGATGCCCGACTGACCCCCTCCCTCATGTCCTCCTTAGAGCGGGCAGGCGTATTACATCAACGACGGGGAGAATGTCAACCTCTTTGAGTGGATGGCCCCGCTGGTAGGTGCCCAGATGCCCGCCCCCACCCTGAGTGAGAATTCTGGGTTCCCGATCTTCTCTTCCTGTCATCCTTTCCTGCTTCCAAAAAGTCAGATTTCTTATTACCAACCACCTGTGGCGACTGTGTCCACTGGGCGACACTGGAACTGGCTGGAGCTGGGTCGTGGCTGACTGGAAGGGATACACCAGAAGCCCACATCCTCAGGGCTCACCCGCCACCTCCTCAGAGTTGCCCCAGATGTGGCCAGAAGCCAGCCCGACACAAGCCCCCAAGGAGGTGACTTTTTCCCCAGTTCTTGCACCCTGCAGAGGTTTGGGTTTGTTTAACCACTTTATTGAGATATAATCCACATACTGTGCAATCCGCCTATTTAGAGCATACAATTCAGTGGTTTTTAGCATATTCGGATGTGCAGCCATCACCATAATTTTATAACAGTTCATCATTCTCAGCAAAACGAAACAAAGACCAAACCTGTACCCTTTAACAGTCACTGCGCTTTCCCAGCACCCAGCCCAGCCCTAGGCAACCGCTAATCTACTTTCTGTCTCCTATTCTGGACATTTCATGTAAATGGAGTCATACAATATGTGACCTTTTGTGTCTGGCTTCTTTCACTTAGTTTTCAGGGTGTTGTAGCATGTATGATATCAGTACTTCATTCCTTTTTATTGCCAAAAATATCCCATTCTATGGATATAGCCTGTTTTGTTTTATCAGTTCATTAGTTGATGGGAATTCGGGTCTTTCTACTTTGGAGCCATTGTGAATAGTGCTGCTATGAACATTCGTGTACACATTGTTGTGTGGACGTGTGTTTTTATTTCTCTTGGGTATATACCTAGGAGTGGAATGGCTGGGCTATATGGTAACTCTAGATTTAACCTTTTGAGGAACTGCCAGACTGTTTTCCAGAGCGGCTGCATTATTTTGCATCCCACCAGCAGTGTAATAGGGTTCCGGTTTCTCCACATCCTGCCAAGTAGTTATTGTCTGTCTTTTTGACCTGGAATGTTTTTGTGCCAGTGAAGAGCTCAATTCATCCGGTGCCAGCCCATCTCAATGCATCTCCTACCACTCTCCACACATGGGCTGGGTTTTTTGGGTTTTCTTTTCTTCCTTGAATAACAAAAAAGTCAATTCTAGAAAAATCAGATTCTACATATGTGCCTTGGAGTGTCTTTACGTGTAGACAGATGTCAGTAAGAACTAAATGATATGAATGACCCCCAGTTAAAAACCCACCCATGCATTTAGTCTTCCAGGTCAAGGTGTGGGTTTTATTTCAAGACTGGCGCAGGCTTGGAGCTGGCTGCTGGGTCCTGCCTTGGGTGGGTGGATGAGGGGCCAGGAGGTAGTCTGCGGCCTTTCCACACCCCTGAACAACCTGTCCTCACCTTACGCCATGTTTCCTTGCAGTTTGAGAAGCTGGGGTACAGCCAGCCCTGGATCCAGGTGCCTACTTCTTGGGTTTACCTGACAGGTAAGGAAAGGAGCGTGCATGCTAAAGCCCTCCACACGCCAGGTGTAAGCATCTAGCTTCATTTCAAACCCAGGGCCAGGACTGGGATGAGGCACATGAGGCACCAAGCACACAAAATACAAAGCTGTGCAGGAGCTGCAGGCCTAATCCTGCACGTGCGCAGCCCCAGGAGCAAGTGCTTCCTTAAATTTAGCACCCTGGGGCCGGCCCGGTGGCGCATTGGATAGTGCGCCGCTTGGGAAGCGTGGCAGCGCTCCCGTCCGAGGGTTTGGATCCCACGTACAGACCGGCTCCAGCTCACTGGCTGAGCGAGGCGCGGGAGCAACGCTGAGGCTTGCGATCCCGTCGCCAGTCCCAGTCCGGTACGGGGGCAACACTGAGGGTTGCAATCCGTTGCCGGACACGGAAAAAAGACAAAAAAAAAAAAAAATTTAGCACCCTGGGGCCGGCCCGGTGGCGCATTGGATAGTGCGCCGCTTGGGAAGCGTGGCAGCGCTCCCGTCCGAGGGTTTGGATCCCACGTACAGACCGGCTCCAGCTCACTGGCTGAGCGAGGCGCGGGAGCAACGCTGAGGCTTGCGATCCCGTCGCCAGTCCCAGTCCGGTACGGGGGCAACACTGAGGGTTGCAATCCGTTGCCGGACACGGAAAAAAGACAAAAAAAAAAAAAAATTTAGCACCCTGGGCACCTCACTGCCCCTGCCCTAGTCCCAGCCCTATTTAAACCTTCTCCTACTGGCAAGATGGGTGTGATTGCACCTATTTTATTTTTTTACAGTTAAGGGCTTATTATAAAGGACGAATGAACAGCCAGATGAAGAGGTATATAAGGCAATGTCTGCAAGGGTCCTGAGCACAGGAGCTCTGCCCCAGGGTAGCTGGGGTGCATTCACCAATGCAGAAGCTCAGAGAGTCTTTTTTTTTTTTTTTTTTGTGGCTAGCCAGAGCCCATTTTAAAGGCAAGATGACTGAGGCTCTTGAAAGGTTAGTGACCTGCCCATGGTGCCACAGTGAGAAAATGGGAAAGGCAGATTCACACTGGACTTGGCTGACTCTCTGTGGCCTGTGCTGGAAGGCTTCATGCAAGCCCCCAGGGCTGCCCGGTCCCCCAAGGTCACCCTCAAGTTAGAGCATCTTTCAGACATGTGAGGGCTCAATTTTGACCCTTGATTCTCTTCCTTTCCCCGAAGGTCGGTCTCTGATCCCTTCCCCACTTCCAACAGCATGTCCTGGCATCTGCCCTCTCCTCCCACCACCCAGCACCCCTCTGCTGGCGTCCTTCCAGCTGGAATGTAGGGCAGGCATCAGGCATGGAGTGATCGGGCCAAGGGGACAGGTGGCCAAGTCACAACTACCTGTGTTCCTGACACACCTTGGCCAGATATGCTGTATTTTAAATGCATTGGAATGCTTGCCATTGAAAGCAGATGTTTCAACCAGGGCACACAAGCAGGGTGACTTCTCACACACAGCGTTACCATGATGATTGGCTCCCCTGACCTCCAGCCACTGGTGAATGGCAGTTTTGGAGGATTGTATATACATTCCCATTCCCAGCCAGAACTATAACTTGGTGCTTCTCAAACCTGGCTGCACGTTAAAATCACCTGGGAGTTCTTAAGATAGAAAAATGCCTCAGCCACAACCAGACAAATTATTGCAGGATTGCAGGAAGGGGGTGTGAGGAAAATGGGAGTATTTTAAATTTTATTTTTTAAAACTTTCTTGGCAGTTGGCTGGTACCCCTGACCTTGGTGTTATAACACGGCACTCTCACCGAGTAGCCGGCCAGCCCAGCAGCAGTACTTATTAAAGTGGTCCAGTGTGCAGCCAGGCTGAGAAGCACAGCTCCCACCTTCCTCTCTTCCTTAGCAGAGCATTTGGGGACGGAGGTGAGAATGAGTGAGAGACATTGTTATCTCTATAACTTTGAATCTGCTCAGATTTATTTAAAAACCTCAGTCCTTTATTATTAATAACAAGTTATTTGTGATGTATTTCATAGCTAAACAAGGTACCCCAGCATGTGCTGCTGATTTAGAGGAATCCAATGACTTTTGCAAGGTAACCCCTTGCAAAGCAAATACGAGCAATGCTCCCAATTGATCTGTCCCTGAGGGCCTGCCTGGAGTTTGCATGGAGTGAGTCCCTAGTCACTGGCCCTCTCTCTCGCAGCCACAGTGATGGAGTATCTGCATCTGGCCCTGCGGCCCATCTGCAGCATCCCCCTGCTGCTCACCCGGAGTGAGGTACGTGCCTGCTGCTCGGGGATCCCCTGGCCCTGCTATCCTTCCCTTCCCTTCCTGCCCCTTCCCCACAACCCCGCTGCCACCACCCCTCGCCCCTTTGACACGTGACTGGATACTTATTAGAGGTCTTAGAACCTTCCCTGTGGGCACAAATCTGGTGCTAGCTACTTCGGAATTGCCGCAGCCTCTGGGCATTTGCTTAGGCTGTGCTCTCTCAGTCTGAAATGCGGCAGCTCCCAGCCCGTCATTCCCTCATCACTGTTATTTCATTCATAAGCAGCTTATTCCTCCAGCCAGGCTGAGGCTCCCAAAGACAGGCCCCATGACAGTCGTGTTTTTGAATACCACCAACCTCACCAACTCTCAAACACACACTCACACATACAGACTCACACAGAGCCTGATGGTCCTAGGCTCATAGTTCATGCTTACTGAATAATTATATATTAAGTAGTTATTGTGTACGGAATACTAGTCTCCCAGTACTGATGATGCAGTTTTCTATTTGCTCAGCATATACAATTTAAAAGGGAGGATGTTTTTATCGCACATTGTAAACAGTAAAGCAATAGGTGGTGTTTAGGGATATACGCATACATCCTTCCAGTACTCTCTCATTTGATTCTCTCTGATGCCCTGCTAAGTTAGGAAGGGCAGAAAAATTATGATTTCCATTTTTATGATGAGAAACTGAGCATTAGAGAAATTAATGTCGTGTCCAAGGTCACACTGTACTGAAATTGGCTTCAGCCTCCAAGTGCAGTGCTTTCTAAGTCAGGGAGGTGGGCAAGGGGGGAGGTGGAGAGTGGGCCACAGAAAGAAGCAGGTACTTCAAAAAACTCATGGAGGGCCGGCCTGTAGCTCGGGAGAGTGCGGTGCTGATAACACCAAGGCCACGGGTTCGGATCCCATATAGGGATGGCCGGTTCGCTCACTGGGTGAGCGTGGTGCTGACAACACCAAGTCAAGGGTTAAGATCCCCTTACCGGTCATCTTTAAAAAAAAAAAAAAACAAATAGGTGGAATGAATATCTAATCAATTTGATTGTAACCCAATAGATTGATAATACTGTCATTTCAACAACTAAGGGAATTCTAGAACCAAGCTTAGCAAAGATCTCAGAAACTACAGGTCTTCTGGGGATTAAACTGTTGCCTTAACCTTGATGACAGTAGGCTCAAACCCATCTAGGACCCACAAGTTATGTCATTATGAGTTAATCATTGCATTGGGGGATTTCACGCTCACTGGCTGAGCGTGGTGCTGACAACACCAAGTCAAGGGTTAAGATCCCCTTACCGGTCATCTTTAAAAAAAAAAAAAAAAAAACTCATGGAAAAATAGAATTGAAAGATAATACAGGGATGGTTGGTTAGAGTGTGGTGTTATGACACCAAGGTCAAGGGTTCAGCTCCCCATACCATCGGCTGCCAAAAAAAAAGAAAAAAATACAAATGTGTCCAGGAACTTTTTGAAACACCCTCGGTATGGTTTCTCCCTTGAGCCATCCAGATCGGAATAGGAGAGAGGATCATGACAATGGTGACCATCGACTGAGTGGTGACAGTACACCATCCACTGTGCTTAATCTCGTTTACTCTTCATTACTACTCTGAGTTGTATATTCTATCATCACTGCCACTTACAGAGGAGGAGAGACACAGTGAAATAACCTGCCTGTGGTCACTCACTAAGTGGTAGGGCTGGGATTGGAACCCAGACCATTCTAAATGATATCAAACTTAACCACTAGCTTGTGAAATGCGTCAGGAATCACATCCATTTAAAACAGCGGCTAAGGTGCTCTAAATTGCGGTCAGGCAGGGACCTGGCTCCCCTCGCTCTTGTCTGTAACTAGTTCCTTGTTCAGCAGAGAGGCAAGGATTCCTTAGCTAAGGCCGCTTCTCGGGTTTGGCTCTGGCGCCCTCTGCTGGTCAGGCTGTGACACGCCAACCAGCCCTCTACTTTGACTTCATAGCCTTTCATTCATTTAGCATCTATTGGGCGACTGCTGTGTGCCAGGCACTGTGCTGAGCAATGGAGGCAAGAAGACATAGCCCTTACCCCAGGGAGCTCACAGTCCAAAGGGGAAGACAGCCCCTTAACCAGGCAAATCAACACACTTTGGTAAGAGCTATACTAGGGGAAATTATGAGGAACTTCAGAGCACCCCGAAGGGGCACATAAGCCAATTCTGAGGAAGTCTAGGAGGCTTCCCAAAGGAGGTGACATCCAAGTCTGAAGTCTGAGAATACTGTGTTGAGGACGCTGCTTATCTAGCTTATCTAAGTTGGAAAAAGCCTACCCCCTGCACTCCTCAAAGCCTTGAACTTACTAGCTGGGACAAAAAGGGACAAGGACTGGCCTCTCTCCCTACCCCCCTCGAGCATCTAAGACCGGGGCTATTTCAGGGCCATGGGAGAATCAAGCAGCTGGTGGACTCTTCCCCAGTGTCCAGCTGAGGAACAGGAGAGGAAGAAATGAGCCTGGTAGAGGGTATCTCCCTCCCCGTAGCAGGGAAGAACGCGGGCTAGAATCTGGCTCCCCTTGTGACCCTGAGCAAGTCACTTAACCTCTCCGACCTTCAATTTCCAAATAGGCGAAGACGAGACGGTGCTAGTACCATCTTAGAGGATTAAATGAGATAAGTCATAGAAAGGATTTAGCCCAGGCCAAACAGAGTGTGTGTTTTATAATTGATATCTGTCTTTATTACTATTGAAGCCGGTGGGCCCCAGGCCATCTGGCAGCAGGAGAAACGCAGCTCCGACACCGGAGAGCAATCAGTTCTGCATAACTGAATCCCTCTCGTGGGGAAGCTTGTTTTACCAGCGAGGACTTGAACGCTGCGTCCGGGGCCTGCCTGCGCAGAGTTGACTGGGGCTGGGGGCAGAAAGCCAGGATCATTTCCTAGCGTTTTCCGCTAAGCCACACCCCGCAGAGCCACAGGCAGGCCGCTCAGCTTCTCCTAGCGGATACCTAAGAGTGTATGGAGGGCCTCCCGAGTCTCAGCGCCGGGCCGGGCCGGGCAGGGGACTTTTGCTTCTTAGGGACGGAGGAGTTCGATAGAGGGCGAATCCAGCGGGGCTGGAGGGGGAGAGCAGAACAGGAGGAGGCGGCGCCCTGCAGGGAAATGGAGGTGGAGAGAGAGGAAGTCCTCCCTGGCGAAGGCATCGCAGAAGCAAGGCGCAGCCCTCGGGTCCTTTTAAACGGCTGTGTGGAGGGGAAGCCCCTGCCCTCTTTTCCCCGTCCGTAAACAACGAGGTGGAGGAGGGTGCCCCCCACGAGCCCCGCCCTCGGCGGCCCCTCTGCCCGCAGGTGCACAGCGCGGTCGTCACGCACACCTTCCGGATCGCCAAGGCCCGCGCGCAGCTCGGCTACGCGCCCGACAAGTTCAGCTTCGCCGACGCCGTGGAGTCCTACATGCGGTCCACG